ACTAACTCATGCTACCACCAGAGTCTGCTAAAGCAAGTTTCTTCTATTACTGCTATCTTAGACACTAAGATTACTCTGTCCGAAGAAGCCAAATCTTTACATATGCATCTCATACAGGGTATGGAGTCCCTGTGGTAGGAGATATAACCAAGAAGTAATACTGTGTACTGATCAGCATGGATTACTTTTGCCTGAGCAGTTTGGACTCTGGAAGTAGTAAAAAGGTCTGCCTGCTGTTTAGGGGTGGGAGCCAACTGGCTTGAGTCTTGGCTGTCCTGTCCACACTTGTAGGTGTACAACAGACCTTCTCCTCAGGTAGAGGTAATGGTGAGCTTTATATTTGGAAAGAAGTGACCAGCTAAATTGAATTTATCCTTTAGACTAGTTGATATTTATAGTTAACACTTTTAGAAATAAAGGGATTTTTTTGTTTTAATGGCCTTACCACAAATGTTTGATAGCACATCTAGAGGTGGCTACATCTTGTAAGTAATAGACTTATTAAGCAATAAATTGTAATGTGTATTTTATTTGCAAGCTTTTGTATTAACATTCTGTGATGTTGCTTTATACTGATCTTGTGCATTCTTAAAGAGCCATAGATTTTTGTGTCCAAAATGACTACACCCGGAAGTTGGAATTTTCCTAATTCTACTTCAGAACATGTCAATTTAGTATATGATAAAAATGGCATTTCAGTTCAGTGTAGAAGGGGTGGCTTTCCATAAGTGGTTTAGCAACAATAGCCTATCTATTTTTGGGAAAAAATTAGAGCCCTACTTCATAAAATGTACAAAAACAAGTTCTGTGTGTATTCAGGTTCTGAATATAAAAATAAAAACTATAAAATTACTAGATAAAAATGAGAATAGTTTTATAATTTTATGATGATGCAGGGATAAATGAGATGTAAAGCAAAGGAGTGGGTTTTTTTCCACACCAAAGAAACCTGAAAAGAAATGATAGCTTCAATTACACAAAAACTTCGTATGTTAAGAGATACCATTGCCAAAATTAAAAGACAAGTAGCAGGCTGGGAGAAAGAAATGTAATAAATAACGCCTACAAATCTGTGAGAAGATAACCCAATAAATAGCAAAGTAGGCAAGGAATATGATCGGGCAAGTCCCCAAAGAAGAAACACAAATGGGCCAATGAATATGTGAACTGATAAAAACTAGGGAAATGCAAATTAATGCATTTAAATTTTTGTAGTTAAAAAATGATGTCAGTGTCACCTGACAGTGATGTGCATCTGTCAGATTAGAACAAATGAAATGAAGAAATAGGTGATTACATACACCATTGCTGGGGGTATAAATTGTTTCAGTCTTTTGGTGGAGCAATGTGGCTCCATAGCAATATTGCATCTATAACAATGTTACGTGTATATTCTTTTGACCCAGAAATACTCAAGCTTGTAAAGGAAGCTTTGTTAGAATATTATTTGTAATAGTGAAAATATCCGCAGCAACCTAATAATCAGTTACCTTATCTCAGCTAGCTTCTTTGGGCTGGGAAACTAAAGCCCATTCATTTTCCTAAATTCATTCATTACCATAAACTCCTGCTTAATCCCTGGGGTAAAGAGTAAGTGTTTGTGACCTGTTGAGCACATGGAAAAGAAGATGGCTCAGATACCATAAGTACACAACCCCTTAACCAGATGTTCCCTTTTGGATTTTAAGAGTTCATATCTGCATGCAGGTTCAGTTTTAATTTTTGACTTAATACAGTTTTAATGGGAGTTCCTGATTCAACTCACCTAATTCTATCGGTGATTTCATTAGTAGCAAATAATTTTTAGTGAAGTGAGATTTGCATATTGAGAATTTGGGGGAGGATTCAGATAACTACTTTAATAATTTAAGACTCAATTTCATTTTGGTCAAGGTTGATGAGTCTGTGCTATACCCCACATAATGAAAATTAGTGCTTAAGTCTCCACAAATTTCCATGATTTATTTAAAATAAAATTCAGCTTTCCAATGTTAGTCACTCTTGGGCTATAAATACATACAAAGAAATCTTTAGTTATTAACGAAAGAGTAAGAGTTACGCCTTTACTCCCAGCTGTAAGACTCCTTGGCAGGATGTTTAATATTTAGTGAACATTGATCAGGTCCTCTTTACCTGGCAGCTTAATTTACATAGATAATGAAATTATTTACAGGAGCCAGCTATTGAGCTAGACCAGCATTGTTTGATAGAAATGTTTTGTGAGGCACAAAACTTTAAATTTTTTTGTAGCCACATTAGAAAGTTAAAAGACAAGGTGACATCAATTTTAATATTTTATTTAACTCAAGGTATCAAAAATATAATCTCAACATATATTCAAATAAAATTTGGCAATTTTACACTCATTTTTGGATGCTGAGTCTTTGAAATCCAGTGGGTATTTTACATTAGAGCATATCTCAGCCTCATTTCAAGTGCTTAATAGTCATATGTTGCCAGTGGCCACTGGAATGTACAGTGCAGGATTAGCCTATAAGCCCCAGAGGACAAAATAGTAATGGTCTTACCATTGTATCCCCAGCACCTAGCACAGCACCTGGTACACAGCAGGTGTCCAGTAATAGTTTTGGCTGAATGCATGAATGAATGAGTAGATAAATATAAAACCATATTTTCACTCACTTTTCAGTCTTTGAGCCTGTGAGTTATGTTTGTCACAAAAATAGTTGGCAGTAAGCTTAGAATGTCTGCTTGTGCAGACATTTAGCGAAAACTGTAGAATATATGTATGTCTTTTCATATTTACCCAAAGCAGTTTTGAAAATTATCTGTTGGCTCCAACTAATAGAGCAAATGACATTATACAGAGATTCTTAGAGTTCCATCTGTTGACCATAGCAACTCTGTTTTTTTCTTTAACTTTGTTTTGCTAATTTTTAGAAGCATTTGTGTTTTGAGAAGACCATTGCATAATCCATTCCCTGTCCCCGAAATTGTGTTTTTCTTAAGCACAATAACATCTAAGTTCACTGAGAGCTGTACACCATTTGATCACTCCTGTCACTATTTACTTTGACCTGCAGTTAAAATCAATGAAATTTCTAGTATCTATTATATATTTCCAGCAGTTTTAGGTATTGTGGGTGATACAGGATAATTGTTATACATGATCTTTGCCCTTGAGAAACCTATAGTCTATTTGCAGAAGAAAAACAAATACTAACAAAAAGAGAAAAATTAAATTTGTTCCCTGTTTTGTTTTTGTGTGCTTTAGACTTAGTGATAGAAATGTGAATACATATACATTTCTTTTTCCTGAGATAGTTCACAGCTACCTGAAAAGATGCATATGTAAACCAATAAGCATATTTTAACATAATAACAAGTATAATAAATCTGCAAGATACAGGACTAATATTCCCTTATACAGATGAGGAAGCTGAGACTCAGTGAGGGTCAGTGACTTGCTCAAGGTAGCAGTCAGAAAGAACCTGGATTCAAATCTACATATTTGTAGGAGCCCTTGCTCTTCCACACCACACTCTTAGAGTTTCAAGATTCCCAGAAAGAGAAATTGAGTTCACTCAAGGTAAATCACAGCTCTTGAGTAAATTTTTTGATTATAGTTTGCCTAATATTATATTTATTCATGTATTTACATAGTTGTGTAAAAATCTTATTAATTGTACATGTACATCCTAATATTTGAATAGTAGGTTAATGAACTGTCAGGGCCCTAGTGTTTTATCGATGAGAAAGAGCTGTATGGGCTGGACTCAGAGCATTTCCGTAGCTAGGCAATGCAGGATATGGTAGACCAGACCAAGGTCTAAGGCCAGGACTTGGCTTTCCAAGAAGAGAGACAAACTTAAACAGGCAGGAGTATGAGATCAGGACAGGCTGTGTCATGAAAGGCTCTAAATTGTTGAGGACTTTGTACTTGAGCAGTAAGCAACCATCTAAGACTCTCAAACAGAGCTGACGGGTTGGAGTTGAGTGATTGAATGACTCAGTTTATTTTTTAGTTTCTCTAGATATGTGCAATATCTTTACAGTTCTTATTTAAAAGCATACCCTAGGAAATAGGACTTTGATTAGCATTGTCCTAAATATTAATTAATGTTATACTAGTACCTATTCATATAGATACTAGTATGTATATGAAAGTAGATAAATCTTTAGGGTAACTGTAGTAGCTTTGTATTCCATCCAATATATGTTTAAGTATCTTTTGTTCTGTAGCTGTATAAGGATTTGTGTAGATTGATAAAAAAAGATTAAGGATAATAGAAATAATATAAAGTCTTAGGTTTTTTTACTCTAAAATTATCTTGAAGCAATTTTAAGCAAACTAATTGACCTAACTTAAGTTCCAGAAACCTTTCAAGTATAAATTATAGAAATAGCTTGTCTTAGTAAAGCTCTAATTTGGTTGAAGGATGCTCTTTGTTAACTGCCATAATGTCTGGAGTATTTAAATTCTAAATTTTGCTATGACTCTTTGAAAGCCAGTTTTCTTTTTAAGTGTATAATTACATATTGTGGAAAAATCATGGGTTTTATGTATGTGTATTTTTATTTATACATGACTCATTCACATTTGTGATTATATTTATGTAGTTCTCTAATATTTTCAGTTTAATTTAGTTGACCTGTGTTTTTGTTTTCTGCTAAGGAAATAAGAAAATTTGTCCTGTTAGCTTTTGGATTATTAAACCCCTCCTCCTTCTTTTCTTGAAAATTTCAAGTTAAACACCATTTTCTTAACTTCATAATGCTATTTGCCTCCCTTTGAAAAAATCTTTTTGCAGTTAATGCCATAATTCTGAAAGTAGTCAGATGAAACAGAAATGGAGACTAGCTCCTTAAAATACTAAGTAGTGTGTGCATATATAAAATAACCTAAGCAAATAAAAAGTATATCCATGTTGTAAATCTTCCCTGATCCCCTTTTAATGCTAAAGTGATTGTTAACAAATTTTGCCTGTGTTTTTAATCTGCTGGGTCATCTGTGGGAAACTGCTCCTCTTCTGTCCTAGGCCACAGACCTCCACCAGCACGAAGTGGACATCGCTGTGTGGCAGATAATACCAATCTATATGTATTTGGAGGTTATAACCCAGATTATGATGAATCAGGAGGGCCAGATAATGAAGACTATCCTCTCTTCAGGGAGCTTTGGAGGTATCATTTTGCTACAGGAGTATGGCACCAGATGGGCACAGATGGCTACATGCCCCGGGAATTGGCATCTATGTCACGTGAGTGCAAACAGTTCTGAACTTCTGACTTTTTGCAGTGTCTGAGAGGTCAGATTCAATGTCACAAGTTTTTTGTTAATAACTTAAAATAATATTGTAATATGGTTAAACCCTGTTAATAGGTTGACTTTTTACTATGGTAATAATACAGCAGGTGATTCAGAATTACTTGCACATTGGATGGTCCTGAGTTTGAATCTAGTTATATGCCATTTACTTGCCTAATGATTTTTAGCTTCAAATTTCTCACCTGTAAAATAGGATTAGTAATATCTCAGGGAGTGCAATATCAATTATCATATATATGCTAATCAAAATGCAGTGGATCAACAAATGGGATTCATAATGATGATAATAACTATTGAGCGAAGTACTTCACACATGTTATCTAATTACTTCACAACATCCCTATGATACAGGTGCTGGACTTATTGCCATTGTACAAATGAGGAAACTGAGGTTTTAGAGAGGCCCTGGGGTAATGGCTAAGAGTGCAGGCTCTGGAGCCAGACTGCTTGGGATTGAATCCCAGCTTGTAGGTATTTTTAGGAAACCTGCAACAAGTTATTGTAACCACTCTTCACTTCTGTTTCATTGTTTGTTAAGAATGGAGAAGATAATAAGAGTTCCTACCTCATGAGGTTGTTGTGAAGATTAATTTAGAGAGATTAAGTAACTTTCCTGAGGTCACATGAGAATTTAAAACCAGCTCTCACTGGTTCCAGAGCCCACGCTGTTGACTCTTACACTATATCAATTGAATAAGTGGTAAAAAATACTGTTGAAATAGTACAGCGGCACTATTTTGAGAGTATTTGCCACTGGGGAAAGTATATGCAACCTTGGATGCACATGCTTTTGTGTGTGTGTGCTGTGGCAGGAGCAGAAGATACAGAGAAGAGAGCACCAAAGGTCCCAATAGGATAATGGTGTTTCTTTTTATCTGGTGGAGAATCAAGATGACAGAAACCATAATTTAAAATGTAGAGATCATTCCCGTGGCAAAAACAGAATGGTCCTTTTATCCCTTCATCCTGAATCCCATTGGGTCTTTACTAATTAGGGCAAAGATGGTACTTCATTTTCCTCTGCTGTATGCCTGAGCTGTCTTCAGCTGCAGTAGTGTGCTGTAGTTCACATCATTCCCTGTTGTTATGCACACACAGTATTTCATAAATTCCACAAAAGTGTATTGAATACGTATCACATACCTAACAATGAGCTATATGGTATAGTCTCTGTAGTGTGAATTAGACCTTTTGGCAGACCTTTTTGAGCACATCTTCTGAGAGCATTAAAGCAGACCTTTTTTTTTAGTTTCTCAGTTATTCTGGGTTTATGTGGGAACACATCGTAGGTAGCCAGTACATGAATGGAATTTGTGCTTCTCCTTCCCCAGTCGTGCTGCATGGAAACAACCTGTTAGTGTTTGGAGGTACAGGCATCCCATTTGGTGAGAGCAACGGCAATGATGTCCATGTCTGTAACGTGAAGTATAAGCGATGGGCTCTACTCAGCTGTCGGGGGAAGAAACCCAGTCGTATATATGGACAGGTACCAATCGGTGGCCAGTCATAGTGGATATGTTTGTTCATATTTTTCTAGTCCTGAGGACAATATCGGATTATTTATATTCTATTATTACCAATTTTTAAATGGAGAATGAATTCACTGTGGTTATTTTTCCAAAAAAAGTTTGATTTTTCAATTCTGATGTGAGATTGTAATTTGCAAATCTGTTTCCTTGCCTTCTTTTTCTCCCTGTCCCTCTTTGTTTCAAATCCAATTTTGGATCATGATCTATATCTGTATGGAAGTTTAAAGAAACTTTAGGACTCCACCCCCTCCCAGTGAGAGAAGGGCTACATATGGTCCCATCATCCTTAGAGTATGTGATCCTTTGAAGAGCTTGCTGACCTAAGTAATAGAGTAGATGACCCCTGCACTTGGTGAGGAACTCTCATATGGGTGGATCTGAGCTAGAACAGATTGTGTAGAGATTAGTTTCCAGTGCTTTAAACCCTAGGTTTGAGAAGTTAAACTCGAAAAGATAGGGAGCAACCCACCATACATCATAGACCCTTTGAGAGTAATGGGCTAAGTTTAAAACAACCAAGCTTTGATTCTTTTTCATCTGGCTGGCATTAGTACTGATAAATAGCTCAGAGCTATGTCTAGAGGCACATACTAGATAACTCTGTATCCCACCATAGCTGCCATTTAAAGTCTAAGAAGAGACCATAACAAAAGCTGAACTTATATTGAGGAAGGGGCTGGTGGAATATGTGAAGTTTTTGAGACTGTCAACTCTAGACTTTTTACTTAAGAGATTCTGGTGGCTTATTTTCATATCTGCTTCTTCCAGAAAGTATTTTTCTTCAGACTGCTTAGAAAGAGAAGCAGCTTTCTGTGGAATGCTTATGTCCATGATGTTTAAATTGTTGGGTTGGCTAGGACCCCTAAGGAACATCTGATTCCCTTGTCTCTTTAGATAGAACTTGCTGTTCAGTTGAGCAAAGCTTTACCTTTCTAAAACTCACCTCTGAGTTCTCTAAAATCTTTAGTCCTTGAAGGGTCTGCTATTTAGAAGTTTAAAAAGTACAAGAGAATTTCATAAAACCTGATTTTGGGGTATACGTTTACATCCTTTAATCAAGTTGTTAACGAGTCAGTCTCGTTCACCTTTCCTTGTTATCCAGGCCATGGCAATAATCAACGGTTCCCTGTACGTCTTTGGAGGGACAACTGGCTATATTTACAGCACAGATCTACACAAATTAGATCTCAATACTAGAGAGTGGACACAACTGAAACCAAACAATCTATCCTGTGATCTACCAGAAGAGAGGTGAGGTTTTAGGATTAAAGTGTATTTATTCTTTATTGCTAAGGTTTAACTTTTTTTAGAATATTGGTAATACAGTTTGAAGAAAACTAATTAGCCTGGTTAAAATAGCTAACTGGCTGTTAAATCCAAGTTCAGCATTAAAGAAGGGTCTTCTGGTGAGGGATTGGTATTTCCCCCTGACCTATAGAATTTTTCTCATGTTATTTCCTCTTATACTTAAGTTTTTCTGTACTAGGAAGATGGTAACATTTTGGAGAAAATACCAGTGGTAGCAGCTGTAACTAAATATCATATTACAGGCAAAACAATTACTTTTTACTTTTCTATTTTCCTTCTTAACTTACATATTAGGATTCTTTGGCTCATTTGCTCACAGCTGTATACCCAGAGTAGGGCACAGTGCCATTCCCATAACGGTACACAGTGAATGTTGATTGGATGGTTGGAAGGAAGGAAGGGGGAAGGGAGGGAGCATCATTCATTTTAAGTGTGCTCTGTTAAACACTCAAACATCACGATTCTATTTGCCTTCTAGGAGCAGTCCTAAATCTTTCACTTGCCTTTCCTATTGGCAGTTGCTCCTTCTTAGAATTAAATTCACTCATGAGTGAGTTGAATGGATGGATGGGTTTCCTTCCAGTTGAAAGGCAGATAGTAAATAGGTTTTTATTCACTCTGAATAAAAAAAAACCCCAATCTTTCTTTGTTTTCTTTAAACAAAATGGCACATAGGTACTAAGGAAGAATTTATCTTTATTGTAATATGTTAATGGACTGATTATTGCAGAACTACCATGAGAGAACTTGGGAGATGGACTGTTACTGGAATAATTTTGATGTAATTTATTTTATCAGTACCAGGGCCTTCAGGGAAAGGAGGAAATAGATTAAGTTTTCAAAGCATTTTCATATGGTTGCCTTCTTTGAATCATTTTCTAGCTAGACTTCTTGGATAAAAGTTCTGGTACGTGTTTCACATTATATTCACAGTTTGAAATGTAGCATATAGGCAGGTAATTAGGAAGGCAGTATATAGCATGGAGAAGACAAGTAATGGCTCTATAGTATCTTACTACGCTGACAGACGGTGACTGCAATGGGGTGGTGGGGGAACTTGATAATGTGCATGAATGTTGAAACCACAATGTTGTTCATGTGGAAACCTTCATAAAATTATATATCAATGATACTTTAATTTAAAAAAAAAGGAAAAAAACATTTGAGATGTAGTCTCATAGTCATTTTCTGTGTGTATTTGTGTATCCATAAATTTTTAAGGGAGTGCAGCCTATCTGCTCTTATATAACTTTTTTTTTACAGTTAATGACATGAAAAAGAAGTTCTTAATATATTAACCATTCTCTATGTCTACATTATTATTGGTTGCATACTAACCACTTTATGTATGTTTTGTAATTTAATCATTTTACTACTGTTAAACATTTAGGTTATATCTAATAACTTTGTATAAATAGTGATTCAATAAAAATAAAGTCTTGCAGCTCATCCTTAGGTAGATCATTTCCACCTCATTATAGATGGGTTTCATTGTATATTTTCAGATACCGACATGAAATTGCACATGATGGGCAGAGGATTTACATCTTGGGAGGTGGTACTTCCTGGACAGCTTATTCCTTAAACAAGGTATTTTGTTTGTTTTTTTTTTTAAAATGGAGAGGGAAAAGGATAGAGAGAGGCATGTGTTATACTAAGCAAGATGATTCTGTTCCTGTGGATATTTTAAGTTTTGAGCAGGTTCTTCATCAACACCTATTTTTTGTTAGATGTTCTTTGTAAGACCAAACTCAGTGCCCGAGATAGGCTTTTCAGTTGACAGTTGCTACATATCTGCTGTCAACTGAAAGTACTTTATCACACCTGAAAGTACTTCATGAAAAATCATCCCCTAGCAAAAATGGATGAGGAAACTGAAAGGGATGGTAGCTTGAATGAAGCAATTAAATAGAATTGGAACCAGGATTCTCAGAATGTCACATCCTTCTCACTGTCAATGCTGTGTATCTAAAAAGAACAGACATGTTTAGGGCTATTAGAGAGCTCAGCTCTGCAGGGCTTTTAATCATCCATGCCTGTGGCATTTCTAAATCCACACATCCCAGGGCCAGTCTAGATTAGGCAGCAGAGCTCCTGGTCTGGTCTGGAACCTTACTGGTCTTTCTCAGGTTTTCTTAAAACTGCATTCCCATGTTTTCTTACCAACACTTGCTTTTTACTGTTATAAAAATGATACATATTCATGTAGAAAATGTGGAAGTTGCAAAATTCCAACTTTCTTACTCATTTTTTTCTGTGATTTTTAAAAAGTTGAAATAATATATGTGCTTAATTTTCAACTTCTTTATTTAATGTTTTGCTTTACAGTAGAATTAGAAAAGCTCAGAGAAAAACAAAGCACCTTTCAACCTAGAATATATATTTGTATACTCTGTTGTTAAAAATCCAGTTTTCTGGTTAGCTAAAATTATTTGTGTATCTTCTTTTTTTTCCTCTCCAAGATCCATGCATACAACCTTGAAACGAATGCATGGGAAGAAATTGCAACAAAACCCCATGAAAAAATAGGTAAATTGAAAAAATGATTAATTTATCTTTACTAAAAGTGTTTTATACTTTTACTTGTTTTGGAAGGAAAAAAGCAATCTTATTAAATTATATGACAAGTAAAATATTGGTGTTAGAAATGCTTGTATTTCTTAACCTAATTATTATTCTTGTTCAGCAATTGAGCGGAGACTTTTAATGGGGATTGTTGAATTCTGTGAAAGTGGGAAATTATGGTGGGATAAGAGGTTGGCACTTAAATCAAAATCTCCCTGTCTCTTTGTGGGTGAAAGGGCTTGGGAAAGTCACCAGTAACTCCTACTCCTGCTGTCGCACATTGTTCCCCTGGAACTTAACATTGTACTGTTATGGGGAGACTTCTGACCACTTTATTTTAGGTGAAATAAGGAAGGATTAGAAGGACTAGTCAATGTTTGCTTAATGCAACAAAGGGACTATTGTGAGTGAGTTACTCATAGTATGCCTTTTGCTGTGGCATGTCAGTGTTACTCCAATCTTCTTGTGGAATTTCTGTGTTTGGCAGGTTTTCCTGCAGCCCGAAGATGTCACAGTTGTGTTCAGATAAAGAATGGTAAGGATTCTAAACATTCCATTTTTCTAATTGTATATACTGTAAATATCTTATTCTTAGTGATAGCTCCTTTAAAAAGGCATAAGTTTGGGAAGAGTCTATTTCTTGTAGTTTAAACTGAAAGGAAAATCCTTAAGTTATGCTTCTCTCAGCAGTTTTCATAAAGTAAACTAGTACAGTGTGTTGGGTTCCCTTAGTTGTCCGAGAACTCAAGAATCAGCAATAAATAAGCTTTTATTATATAGTATACCACCTGATCTGTCAGCACGCCACCTCAACAGATGTCTGTGCTTCTGGTGGATAATACTAATAATCTTGATGTATAATAGAGATCTCGGAAATAATTTCAGCTAGCCATTTTAGTAATACCTCAGTATTAAAATGGTAATAACTGCTTCAGAGTGTCATTTCATAAAGTTTATTCTGTTTATTGTTTGATGCCAATAGGACTCTTAGCTCATTCTCCAGCCACATTACAATAGTGGCGTTGTCTCGCTTTAGTGAGCCAGCTGCAGCTCCTTTAGCTGAGTGTGATAAGTGACTCCTTGGGATAACATTCCAGTCTTCTAATTTACAGCCTATTTTTTAGTTTGATATACCACCTGAAAAGTATTTTTCTATGACAACGGTGTGTATAAATGAGTTTGAGTGACTGGATCTTTACAGCAATTTAGTTTGGATTTAACTAGGATTATGCTGCCATCTCTGATACAGAGGTGCTTTTTATTATGCTTCTGCTTTTTGGATAGTATTTATAGGTAGTGGCAATGTTCATCTTTGTCTAAGAAGCAAAGGTGTACTTTGCTTTGGAGCTGTATTTTTCTCCCAGTCAAAAAAGTTTCCAGTGTATTTTATAGTTTAAGTAAGTATTGGCTTGAAGGATGTAGACCTGACTTAAGACATCTATTCATTTGATTCTTTGAGGCCAGCCACCATACAAACAGAATTCAGCCTTAGTTTTGGCATTTAGTTTGCAGGTTCACATAGCCTTTATTAGAAGGTGTCTAACTGGTTATAACTAACTGACTATACAAAAATAAACAAAAACAATGACAACAAAACCTTTGATTTGGGAGACGGTTTTGTTCTTGACATAAAGAATCGTACAGATGAAATGAGGTTTCGAAATGTCCTCTTTTGGGTGAAGAAAGCTTGGAAGAGCCTCTTTTGTGCCCCCAAGTTGAACATTGTAGTGACTGTTTCTCCTCAGGTCAAATGTCTGCAAAGAAGACATTTTTCTCTATGAGCAGATAAATGTTCTTTCCAGAACCTTATCTAGAAGAAGAGTTTGCAAACTGGTGGCCTGAAGATGTGTTTTGTTTGACTCATATGTGTATTAAAATTTTTTGAATTAGTGAGTAAAACTTAAAAATCAAAATGTTTCACTTTTTAAAAAATCCAGATTTCCAGCTTCTCTTGAAAAAACTGTAAGATCTGGCAGTTGCTGACCTTAAGTCCTACATGGTATCAACCAGCTGGAGTGGCATCACCATCTCCCCTTTGAGAGCATGTGCACGCCTGTGTGTTTTCCCTGGACCTCCTATTTATTTTTCTGGACCTTCTTGTGCATTCACTTTATTTGCCTGTCACCTGTAGGTATTTGAATTTGAGAATCCAGACATGAAACCTTCTAAGAGGCTCGCATCCTTAATTCTAACAAAGATTCCAATATAGTGTCCATACCCAATACTGTGTTGAAAGACAAGACAGCAACAGGGAGGACACCTAGTGTGTTATGGAGAAACCCACCAAACTGGTCCCATGTCAGTTAGCAGTGTGATCTACTACAAAGCATGCTGTAGCTGTAGCTCTTCCTCTGTGTGATCTTTGTCCTCTTTTTTCTTGATAGATGTGTTTATTTGTGGAGGCTATAATGGAGAAGTTATCCTAGGAGATATCTGGAAGTTGAATCTGCAGACGTTTCAGTGGGTAAAGCTCCCAGCAACCATGCCAGAACCAGTTTATTTTCACTGTGCAGCTGTTACACCAGTAAGTTTTTATTTTCTTATCTTCCTTACATAGTTGCAGATAATAAGGAAATATTTTTAGGGATATAGCAAGAAAAAAACATTCTGATATTAGCAACTTTGGACTAAGAATGTGTTTTTAAAACTTTATTCCAAAGATAGCCCTTCCTCTGAGAAAAGGGGAGAAAAACATTATATTCATTTTACAAGGGTAGCATAGATGTAAAAGAAATACTATGCATGGCATTTGGGCCCTGACGGTGATATTAAAGATGCTTCCTGGGAGGGCAGAAGAGTTTCACCCCCATGATACTGTATTATTGAAGATCCCACAAGTTTCTTGAAGGCAAAGACCTTTATTTTCATTTTTATATCCCCAATATTTGGTACAACATATACTTAATATAGTCTTAATTTAATGCTTGTTGAAGTAAGAAAAAACTGTACGTTTTCCCCTTAGTAACTCATTGATCATTTAAACCCTTTGTAATCTCTGCACTAAGTTGGGATCAGAAAGAAATACTTTTTGTCTCACATCATCTCAATTCAGCATACTATACATTTTTTTGCCAAATCATCAGCCCAAGTATGTTTCTCTCCTATTTGAATTTATCCTCTTTTGACTACCATTTGTTCATAGGCTGGTTGCATGTACATTCATGGAGGAGTTGTGAACATCCATGAAAACAAACGGACTGGGTCATTGTTTAAGATCTGGCTGGTGGTACCTAGCCTGCTGGAACTGGCATGGGAGAAGCTGCTTGCGGCCTTCCCTAACCTAGCAAACCTCTCCCGAACACAGCTTCTGCACCTTGGACTCACACAGGGACTCATCGAGCGCTTGAAATGAGAATTTCTGGACTGTTCATTGATACTGGAAATGTTAATTTAAAGAGACTCCTTTATTTATGGGCAGTGTAGCATGTGCTACAAAGAGGATTGGTTACCCTGATCAAGGCCTTATTCAGAAAATACATCAGATGCCTTTCTCTAAATTGGTTTTAAGTTCATGGAAATCTCACTCTCCCTCGTGCTTCTTCTGTTGCTTCTCTCCTTCCCGCCCCAAGACACACACACATACACACTCCCTCTTCCTTGATGGAGTTAAGAGAAGGTCTGAAAGTACCTTAATAATGTTTGAATCAAGATATACAGGATTTTTCAAAGGAACTCTGAACATATGATCTTGTCAGCCGGTGCTCTACAAACTAATGCAACATGAGCAACAAAAACAAAAATAAAATTTTCAAAAATTTAAATCCAACAAGTTACAACATCCAGCATCAACAACAAGTTTTGTGGCTCGAAGAAGAAGGCTAACCTGAAGAATCTTGCAGGTTCTATGTAAACCTATATGTTTAGTTCGCTGTTTTCTGAGATGCATCTAGATGAGTAGCTGGATCCAGTGGCAGCAGTTGTTGGCATCTTGCTGCACAGAGACCAGATCTGCCCTTTGGCTTTAGAGGGCAGTTAAGCAGCTCAGCAGCTCTTGGTTAATGGTTTCTTTCCTCATCTTTATGGTGCCAGTAGTCGTTAGAGTTGGCTCGTCAAAAGTCTTCATGTGTGTTATAGCTGCATTGTTTAGTGTTGCTCTTAGAAATTATAGCACCAAGAATGTTTCAAATCAAGAAAATTATGGTGGTCAGAGTTTGTCATTCTGGGCAGTTTTGAAATTCTCCTATGCTTACTAATGGTTTCAGGTATCTCTGACTTCTTCATGGGGAATTGTAGACAATAAATATGTAGCATAAATGCCATGGGACATAAATGTAAGCTTGTGAGAAACCAGAAAAGAGCAGGGCAGGGAGGGCTCCTGCTCTGGGCTGTGAACTTTGACCAACATATTGGCCATTTCATTTTCAAAACTTTTTCCTTTTCTAATTCGGGGCTATGCACCTGCCATTTTCTCAAGCAACAGGTTTTATCTTTAGAAAGCCAACTGGCCCTTGATTTTTCTCTTAGCTTTTTGCCTCATTTTCTGTCTGCTTTAATGTGCATGGTGCTATGAGTAATTGTCTAGTAATTGGATAAAAGATCTTGAGGGAAAAGCCACAGGTCATCCTTCTTAAAGAACTAAGTACCATTTTAAAAACTAGATTAGGAAGGAATGAAACAGGATCATTTACTCTGTGGTGTGAAATTTTAGTTCTGGATTGTTTTGGGTTTTTTTAATTCTAAAAAAGAAACACCCTGACTTTTCACTTGCTTTGCCATCAAGCCGCTAGATGAGCAAGTCACTGAGACAGGAGCATTTGGAAGTCCTCAGGTGTATGGAAGGTGCTAACGGCAGGCAAGAGGGGCACAGTGCTGTGCTGGTCATCCCACTGGTTACCTCAGAACAGGAGATTCAGGTGGGAGATGTGGGACACATTTTCCTTTAAGTGCCTCTTTTTCACTTAGCTTTTAAAGTTATTCTTCTTTTTCCTTTGTCCCACAGGGGCACTCTCTTTAACTCATGTGTGGATTTAAAATCACCTTTGAGTTATGGCTAAAAAGTTATCATCCAGTATTCAGTTCTGGGAAAGAGAAAACTGTGGCTCTAGACTTGAACTCCTAACTTCCATGCTTTACTGTAACATCCCATCCATGCTGGGTTGAGTTCATGGAGCCTGTATTCTGTGAGGTCTTGTGATATCCACTCATCTGTGAGTGAGGGGTGTGAGGGAGAGGCAGGAAAAGGAGTAACTCCTCTAGAGGTCCCACCCCCATTTGCCATGGCCAAGTCTGTTGGATGTTTAACCTCTTGCCATCACTGCTAGGCTTGCTTCAGTGAGGAGCTCTCTCCAGAGCAAGGCAGTGTGAGCAACCCCATTAGTTCAAAACACAACTTTGCTGTTTGACTCTAGCCTGGTCTCTGGATATTTGGTGGAAATATAGCCAGAATCAAACAAGTCGTGCTGTCTAGCGTGGTGAAAGGCTTTTTGTCATGGATTTATATAGGGACCAAAGACTGAATGCTCAGCCTCTGTGCTTATCCTTCCATGGACCTTGGGAAATAAGCAGGTCTCTAGCTCTGCTATGCCAGAGAGCAAGAAAGATAGGCTGGTTCAATCCACACGTGCTAGCATCTTTTTAAAAACTTCCTGAGGCCAGTCTTCTTTGAGGTAGACTTTGGAGGACTGATGTCCAAGACTTTGTGTGTAACGTTTTCATAAAAGTACCTATCTTTGGTCTAAAGTGTCTTTTTTTAATAAAACACTAGTGAAAATGTTGTAGTATGACCAGCTCTGAATGCTGTAGAACTGCACATGTGCACATATTCTGGATGCCAAATGAGACTGTATGTATGGTGACTTAAATGTAGATAATTAGAATTTTATATAAAGGGTCCCCAGGCATTTTAGTGTACCTATAACCAGCACTCGGACTCCCTGGCATTGTTACTCGATTTAGGGACGTTGATGCCTGCTGCTTCTCTCTCTGCCTCTTTGAGGTACTCCCAGCCACCTTACTGCAGTCTTGGAAATTTCAGTGCAATATAGAGAAACACATATGGATATATACAGATTATATATAGGGTGTGACTATAAAGCAGTTAGACTACTTTTTTTGTCTGTCTAGGGAAGCCAGCTCATTACTTTGGAGTCAAATTATACCAAGAATTTGAAATGTGATTGGCTGGCTTAAGCCAACTCTTGGTCATGCTGGATTTTCAAGTCCGTGTTTTCTTACTCCAATTCTTAAGAGACTTTTGTTCCTTGGGTTTGTTAAGAGTTGAGACTTTTCCCCAGTTATCTTTGTACTATCTCTGTACATCTCTGCGCCCAGGAACAAGGAAGTCTACCTATAAGGAGTTTCACAAACAGAGAATTAAAACCTAATATTTAATACTGTCAGTTCTCCCATGTATATACTAATTTATCTGTGAATGTAATACTTTATTAAATGACAAAAATGATGCTTTCTTCATTTAATAAAGTATTGAAGTATTTTCCACATCCTGGAAAACCTATAAACCAGTATAGAATGATTGAAATTTTAACTATTCTTCAGGGGCCAAACTGAAATCTTTTTCACTGGCAGATTCATTTTTCAGGGCTCTAGTGACATGATGTAAAAATTTGCTTTAAACTATCACATCCATTACATAGCTAGATTTAAAAATATAAAAATAAACATTAACATTTCTAAGCAAAAAGTATATTAACAGCGACCTTTGATTATCTAGAATAGCAAGAAAAGCACAGATAGTTGAAGTCCATAGATAATCAGTGTTTCCGCTTTTCTATCAAGAAGTTGATTTATTTCTTCTTCCTCCCTACCTGCAAGCACCGCCTTCTTAATGGGTGGGGCTAATGAGTAGGTAGAAAAGAAAAAGGAAGAATCAAGGAGGGGCTGGAAACCAGCAAATATATAAGCAGCCCAGTTAGCTGTGATTGATCACTTTGATGAGAGCTGTTGAATGCTGAAATCAGGACCCCCGGGTGGTAGTCCTGAGTTTAGGTGTTACTCTTTACTCCTCTGCTTCAGCGTAGTTTTCTGCCCTGAGTTCTGTGTAGGCTTTCCCTCCTATAACCACCAAAGAACTCTTGGCACCTATGGGAAGAAACAGCAGAGGAAATCCCATCATTTGAACACATTTCTCTGGCTCTTGACAAATACTTGCTTTTCCTCTGTTCTTGCAGGAGCCTTATTTTTTTCCTTGGAAATACCTTTTACAGCCATAGAGTTTGGCTTGTAAAAAAGGTTGAATTATTTTGTAGGACTATGTTGGTCTTAATTTGATAAAGCCAAATTGTTTTTATGTGGTCTTACAGATGTTTAGAAAGTGGCACAAGTTACTAAATTGTCTACCTGCCAGTACTCTGATGTAGCACAAAAAGAGCCATTTCCTTAATCTTAATTGTTCTGACACTGAGCTCCAGGATGGCTGAATATTTATGGTCCCGTGATCATAAGCTCCAAAAACTGATCACTGTTAGCTTATTGCTCTGGTTCCCCAAATACCTCGGGACTCTAGGAGTGTTGGCAGGGCCTAAGGTAGGCTGGGTAGAGTTCTGTGACCTCCACATGTGTGCCACCAGATTATGCCTGCCAATGGTGTTCCCCTTCGAAGGTCATTTGATTCGGTGGAAAGCAACCTCTTCTCTTGTCTGGTGTTGAATGAAGTTCTGAATTGTGCTTCAGAAGTGGTACATCGTTTTGGTATAATTTTCATGTTTTTATTTTTATTTTTTACTTTTCAGAAGTTTTTTAAGGGCCCTGCTTAGTCAGTATACAGGGTGAGTCAGAGGCAGTTTCACCAAGCTGTAGTCATTGCTGTTTTACTAGTTGCACATTTAGAATACAAAGGAGGCATCAGAAACACACTGACGTTCTCTAAAGCCACTTCCTTGTACACAGAGTCTGAGCAGGGACAACACCAGGCATCCCCTATAAAGGCACCTGCCAGTGAGGATTTTACTGGAAGAGCCTAAGCAAGAAGGGAAGCTACTCTCATATGCAGTCTCTGAGGGTTAGCCTGGGCTTGACTCTTCGTACAGGGTATGCTTAGGCCACACACGATGCTTGCCTTACTTTAAAGCTATTTGCCCCAGTCCTGTTAAATAGTGTGGAAGTCCTTTTGCAGTCTGGTGTGCATGCCATATGATCGGGACAGCTTTTCCACCTTCCCCAGTTTCCTACAAGCAAGTAGGAAATATAGTGAATTTACCCTAAAATGTCTAATCTGTATTTATGTACCTTGTCAGTGTTTTGCTGTTGGTTTTCTAAAACAATCTGATCAATAAATCTTATCCAAATCTATCTGGTTCAAGGCCACCTTGATTGTCTGATAGTAACTTGTGTGTGAGTTCACCTGCCTGTGACCTAAGCATCAGTCCTATGCACCTCCACCACCCCTTTTCCACCCCATCAGAGCTCACTTTTCTCTATAGTACCTTCCACCCCCACTGCTGTGGGTCCCTTATCTCTTGCTCACCATCCAGAACTCCTGGGCACATGGTAGTCCCTCAGCAGAACACTGCTTGCTCCCTTCAGGACCTCAACGAGGAAGTGACAGTGGGGTAGGTCTCACTTCCTTTTACTGTATATTACCCAAATCACCACCAGCTGAGTTTGTGTATGGATTCACATGGGGTCCTTTGGAGATGAAACCACAGTTCCTAGTTCTGGCCTTGGTATTGCATATGCTTCCCTTTCCAGAACCTCTGCTTTGTGTCGCTTCACCCTCTGATAGGATCCCCTCTCCCAGCAGTATTTTTTCCCAAGTCTGTTTAAGTCTAGAATTGTTGTGGACACTCCAAGCCTGGTCACTTTTAAGTCCACCCATCCAGAATTGCCCATATGCCTCTTTTGTTTTTCAGCATTTCCTTTGACAAACGATTGAATGAAATATGCCTTCTTGGGACAAATCATCTTAAATATTATAATATAAATCTACAAGGAGGAAAAGGTACAATTTCTACCCCTTAATTAATTTGTAAGACTTCACAGCCCACATTATAGCTAATATTGTATATTTATTACACAGAGCAGTCTCATTTCCTTTAGTTTATTTTTCTGGGTTCTAAAGTGTATACCCCTCAGACACCAGGAATAAGAAATGGAGCCTATCTGTACCTTTTAAACTTTAGACCAGCCAGAGCTTTGAAATTAATTTTTGTTTGTATCTCATTCACTTCTTTGATAAGGCCCATCTTAGCTTGTGGGGAGAGGTTTCAGGGGCTTATAGCTGGTTTGGGTTATTTTGTTCTTCCAGTTACATGTATAAAATTCTACTTTGTCAAAATGCCATTACTAAGCTATTATAATGAACAGTACAACTACATTCTGTGCAGTTAATCTCCTGCAGTAATTGCTTGCAGGGAGAGGACACTGATAAAATCATCCAGTTTCCGCACTATCTTCAAATGAAAGGCACAGGTTCCAGGCCAGCACAAGACCACTCGTCTTCTGCAGTAATGGAAATGTTCTATATTTGCACTGTCTGATATGTGTTAGCTACTGGCCACTGGCTGTTGAGCATTTCAGATGTGGTTAGTGTGACTGAAGATCTAAATTTTTTATTTAATTTATTTAAATGTAAGTAGTCACCTATGGCTAATGGCTACCTAGGAGTGCAGCTCTAGAAAGAGATGACCTGGAGAGTTGGGAGACCAGGGCTTGACTCGTGGCTCAGCCCCTAATAGTTCTATATGTAATTTCTTTTTCTTTGGGCCTTGGTTTACTGACCTGTCAAGTGATGAAGAGGCTGGCAAAGATATTTTCCAAGGTCCCTCTCAGATCTGACATTCTGTGTTTCTGATCAAAGGCCTACAGCAGCATATGTGAGCAGTGACAGGTCTTGAATTAACTCTTCACCTTGATCTTGGTGTTAAAACCATTGGTGCTACCCAGATGGGACGCCTACTGCAAAAGTTCCTTAGGGAGAGCCACAGTAAAGGATACCACATGTGTAGTGCAGGCTCCGAGTGAGAGTGCTGGAAGTGGCGTATGGAATGGAAAAAGGCCAGCTGCCAAGCCCACTCATGACCCACTGGTTTCCGAACCATGAGGCATGGGTGTTAAAAATACAGATTTCTGGGCCCAAACCGCAAAGATTATGTTTTAGAATCCACTCCTTGGTTGATTCCAATTTAGCAGGTTTGTAGCATTTGGGAATCCCTGTATCACAATTGCACCTCTGCCTGGGGCTAGACAAGATAACAGAGAGGCCTCCCTACCTTATTGGTCACTGTCATACTAATTGCCCAGGAGAGAACCAAAGCAAAGGCCAGAATGCATGCTTCCCAATCCTTGCCCTGTTAGGACTCAGTGTAAAGATGGCAGACTGTCCACCCAGGATGATCTCCTCACCCTCTTGGAGGACCACTAAAATAATAGTAAGATGACTTTGGTTTTCCTTTTCCCTAAAAGGGGGCTAATAAGAGGAACGTATCTTTTGATGTTACTGTGTAGCTTAAATGAGGAGATATGAGTAAAATGCTTAGAAGGATGTCTAGTACACAGCATGATTAGGTATTGACTATTGCTCTCTATAGTGGATAGAACAAGAAATAAAGATGAAGTATTAAGAATTCGAAGTTAACCAATAAAAAGCTAAATATAAGATGAGGCAGGGGAGGGGGGTGATGTGAGCTAAATCCTTATCTTCCACAGCAGGAGGGTTAGCAGAAAGTCTCAAATTGAAGCACTAACCAGGAGAGCATATTAGAGAGGGAGAGGTAGGCATCCAAAGAAACAGCCAAAGGAGCAAACAGTGTAAAACAGGTTGACCCGTGAGAAGGGCTGCAGCAGGGACTGCTGGTTTTTTAAGTACAATCCAGGTTTTTGTTTGTTTCTTTTTTCCCCTTGTTAAAGCAGAATCCTTCACAGCTCTTTCAATTTAGCTCTTTAGGACATTGTGAATCTGGGTCCCTTCTGATCAAATCAGGCTGAGAAAGACTGGGTGATATTCATATTTTTAAATTCTTCATTGATTCAGATGTAGCCTGACTGGTATTTGGGGGTCTTCTATTTAAAAATCAATCTTGGAAGCTAGTAGAAGGGAAAAAAATTCAGGAGAGAGGGGAAATTTTTTTAAATGATACAATCTCTCAATGTGTAACTGTGGTTTTACCCTGTTGCCCAAAGCTTATTTCTCACCATCCTGTCGATTCATAAGATCAAGCAAGAACATTATTCTAGGGAAGAGGCTTCTTCCTGCATACACTCCACAGGGAGGTAAGAGGAGGTAGAGGGTTTCTGAGTGATATATCAAAGCTGACCCAGAAAAATCTGCCCCATCCTGCACAGGCCTTGGGGTCTAAGTCACAAATGCAACAGTGAGATACTTTTCTCAGCTTCTCAAACACAGAAGTGTGTCCTAGCTTCTCTCCAGCAGTCAGTTTGGCAAAAGGGCCTCAGCAGCTCACTAGGAAGGTACAAAGCGTCTCTCAGTCAGGAAGGACAGCACCCAGGGCAGCCCATCCCAGGGTGAGGGAGGAGACAAGAGACATTGGGAGCCCTGGCCTCTATTTCAGAACCCCACTCCAGGCCAGGAGCTTTAGAGCAGTATTGCAAGTGGCAACTGTGAAAAGCAGAGGAATCAGCTGTTATTTAGTCTATGTTGCTTTAGAAGAGACACACTGGTCAGTTTATCCTTCTCAAGACTTCCACTGTAAAAAGCTGTTCAGCTACTGGAGCTGAGTGGCTCTCCCCATGGCTACAAAGGATGTTTTCAAAATCTCCCCCACTATGAGGGAGCAAAGTTACTTGCTCTATCAATGCAAAGGAAGACTGGGGTCTTACTTGCTTCCAAAGCCTCATCTGGTGGAAAAGGTAGAGTGTGACTAAAACAGCCAAATCAGATCTTGGTCCAGGATGTCAGCCTCTCCCCATGCTCCCCCTGCACGGCCCAGACTCCCTTGAAAGAGGGCAGACTTGCCTCCCACAAAGATATGATCCATAAGAATGACCAACTTGGAGGCTGTCTGAGTGGCCTGCATACATACACCTGAGGGGCGCACCTGGCCCACCACCACCGCAGAGCCCAGCCCCTGCCTCCTGCAGTGTCTGCCAAGCATATTCATGGCTCCTTTTCTCAGCAAACCTGTGTTGGAGTGCAAACCTAGAGGTCTTACCCCACTTCACAGTGTGATTATTAGGCCAAGACTAGCCAAGTTAGGTGATTTGCCAAAGAAGTCACCGAGATCCGCAAAGCCCTGGGAAGGGAGGGTATGGGCGGGTCAGGCTGAGAAGACCTTGTTTGGGGCGCATCCCAGGGCCTCCTGGGGCTGGGGGTTGCGGCAGAAGAGGCCTGGGATGCAGCGGAACGGGCAGTGGCCGGGGCATCCTGGCGGCCCCGCCGGGGCTACAGCGCATCCAGTCCGGAGGGGACACTCGCTGCTCGCCCGCCATCCGGTGGGGCCTGTGCCGCGCCGGGCCGAGTGGTCTGGGCCAAGCTTCTCCGCAGAAGGCGTCGCGAGGCGCCGTCTGGCGGCTTCTCTGAGCCCCCCTGGCCGGGAGCGGCAGCCCGCGGAGCTCGCTCATGTCTGGGCGCCGGCGTGCGCCGCTGTGCGGAGCGCAGCAGGCAGCAGGGAAGCGGCCCTGCCTGCAGGGAGCGCCCGTCAGGAGGTGCAAAGCAACCGGCTGTGGGGTGACTAGGAGCGTGTGTCCGGGCAGAGTCGGGGAACATCTCTCCGAGGACGCCGCGAATGTGCACCAGGAACTAAAACGGTTTGAGGAAGAACGTTACCGGGACGTTCAGACAGGCACGGAACCCAGCCCCCGGTGTCTTCCAGACGGGGAGGAAGCCGCGCGGCAAAAGCAAGGCGCCCTCGGGGGAGCGGGAGCGGGGAGCGGGGAGGGAGAGGCGGGCCGGGCAGGTCATCCAGAGCTGGGCACTTTGGGGTTCAGCCAGGAGGAACGCAGGACGGCCCCTCCAGCCGCGGCGGAGAGGATGCAAGAGGAGGCGGGTCCGTTAGGACAGGCACGGACCCAGGCAGGGTGAAGGCGCT